CCTTCTACCTCGAATGTTGTCCCAAACATCCCATTCTCCAAAAAATTAAAAAAAAAATAATAAAACGTAGAAAGGAAAACGGCATTTTTTTTTTTTTTTTTTTCAAAAGAATCATTCTAGGTGTAGTGCTACAATGAGAAGGGTTTTTATTTTATTTTATTTTATTTTGGGGGTCTAGTACAAAAAAATTGCTTATATCACCAAAAAGGAGTCTTGCATGTAGGCATGTTCTTTTCCTAATTAAGCAAAAGATAATAATTTGGGAGAATGAATTGGGTAGAAACAAGGGCCTACACATTCCCCTTAAGATATGGATATATAAGAGAAAGTGAGCTCTAATGAGATTTCTATATATATTCTAAGTAAGCTTTGTATTCTAAAGTGATAACGCATGCAAAGGCAACTTGAACCCGTTATAATCAAACATATCTGATTTATTTTTCCCTAAAAAATTGTATAAAATTTTTTTTAGAAAATAAATTTTTTTTAAACTAGTACAATAACTAAGAAATCCAATTAATAATATAACAACACTATTTCTTTTTCTCCTTTTCTTTGGTTGTTGTTGGAAAAAGTTTGGCCAGAAAAAAAAGTGTTTTGTATCAAAGCTTCGTTCATTTCACCGATTCGAGTTTTCAATTTCAGGTTTCTACAGTAAAAAGCTCTCACAAAATGTCATATCTAACTTTTTCTATTACAGTAAAAAGTTCTTAGAAAATGTCACATCTCAACTCGAATTCTCGAAGTGAACGAGGCCCTAGTATTTGTAATATTTCTCTTCCCCTCCCCAAACCTTACTATGTATGTGCAGATAAACACACAATATTCATATATATATATATATAATATTGTACGTTATATTAGTGATATATATATACAAATAATACATATATGTATATATTTTCTTTTCCGATAATGGATATGAAAGAGTGCCGGATAATAATTGATGATTGATGTATAGGGGACATGAACACTTGACGTTATCAAGTAACCTCAGAGAGACAGTCTTGTGTTTTCCATGACGATTCCGAAACCATGAAATTTTGGACCACGCAATCATTTGGAGTTAAGTCATTTACGTACCATTAAGTCGCAAGTCTCTAGAGGTCAAACAATTTTTTAAGTATTTTCACGAAAACGAAAAATCAAGCGCACATCTTCGCAGTTTTATTAAAGGAATTAGTGCTTGTAAAAGTCATGATCCTTTTGCACATTCAAAATTTCAACCACATGATTGTATATATATAAGCATATTATGTTTATGATATAATGATATAAAGAGCGCACTTGTTGCGGTATGATACTTTTTTAAATTAGTAGTGTATGCTTTTAAATGTTAAATTTAATTAAAATCACATTAAAAAAACATACAAAAATGATGAATATAATACAAGTTTAGTGGCTCAAAACAGAATCTACTAATACCATAATTTTCATATTTTATTATGAAATCCTCGTAATTATGATGGCCGTTGGACAAGTACGTCCTCATTATATAGCATTTCATGTAGACATCTCCTTTCCAAGGAGGCAGCAATATATATAATTAGACCTGCCCTAAGGATCAAGTACTACAAAAAGTTGGTCATAAATCATCACAAAACTAACCTCTCTCTACCTTAGTAATAAAAAAAAAAAACCTCTCTCTAATCACTTCACACACTTTAAGTCGGTTAATTTTCTGATTCAAGTTTTTAATTTGAATTAATATGTGATTTTATTTGAGAATTTTTTACTGTAGTAAAAAAGTTAGATGTGATTATTTCTGAAAGCTTTTTACTATAGCAAAACTCAAATTTTAAACTCAAATCGGTGAAATGAACGGAACATTTTTGTTGAATATAACTACACACAGATAATGCTGAAGAATCCCTAGCTATATTGATCGGAGTGTTGGAAACAAAAAAATATATATAAATATTAAGTAATTGAATCTGTTCTTTTACTATTATTTTTTTCCTGAAGAATTGACTTTAATTAAACGCACTAAGAGCTAGCATGTTATACTATTTATTTCTTTTGTATCATATATTGTAGCCTTTTCACTACATATGCATCTCTACTCTTAAGCAACCCCTCTCTCTCTCTCTGAATATATATATATATATATATATATATATATATCTCAAGAAAAATAGGACAAAT